AAGTGTCCAGTTCCTTGGTCCATTTATTGATTGGGTTATTTGATTTTTTTGGTGTTAAGATTTTTGAGTTCTTTATATATCCTAGAGATGAGTGTTCTATCTGGTATGCGTGTGGTAAAAATTTGCTCCCCAAATGTAGGCTCTCTATTCACTTCACTGATTGTTTCTTTTGCTGAGAAGAAGCTTTTTAGTTTGAATCCATCCCACTTATTGATTCTTGATTTTAATTCTTGTGCTATAGGAGTTATATTAAGGAGGTCTGGGCCTAATTCAACATGATGGAGATTTGGGCCTACTTTCACTTCTACTGTGCAGGGTCTCTGGTTTAATTCTTAGATCCTTGATCCACTTTGAGTTTTGTGCATGGTGAGAGACAGGGGTTTAATTTCATTTAGTTGCATATAGATTTTCAGTTTTGCCAGCACCATTTGTTGAAGAGGCTATATTTTCTCCAATGTATGTTTTTGGTGCCTTTGTCTAATATAAGGTAACTGTGATTATATATTATTTTAGACAAAATTTCTTTTGTCTAATTGCTCTGGCCAGTGTTTCAAGAACTATGTTTAATAGAAGTGGTGAAAGAGGGTATCCCTGTCTTATTCCAATGTTTAAAGGGAATGCTTTCAATTTTTCTCCTTTTAGAATGATGTTGGCTTGGGGCTTAGCATATATAGCTTTTACAATGTTGAGATATGTTCCTGTTATCCCTAGATTTTCTAGTGTTTTGAACATGAAGGGGTGTTGTATTTTGTTGTATTCTTTTTCTGCATCTATTGAGATAATCATATGATTCTTATCTTTTAAGTCTATTGATGTGATGAATTACATTTATTGATTTCTAATATGTTGAACCAACCTTGTATCCCTGGGATGAATCCCACTTGATTATGGTGCCCTATCTTTTTGATATGTTTTTGTATTTGATTTGCTAGAATTTTATTCATACATGACATATTGTACATGTATAATTACACATGTATTTTAACATATTATACATATATAGAGTATAACTTCCCATTCTTGTGGTTGTACATGATGTGGAGTAACACTGGTTGTGTGTTCATATATGAAAATAGGAAAGTTATGTCCAATTCATTCTATTCTCTTTCCTATTCCCATCCCTCCTTCCTTCCCTTCATTCCCCTTTGTCTAATCCAATAAACTTCTGTTCTCCTCCCCCCATTAATGTGTATTAGCATCTGCATATTAGAGAGAACATTTGGCCTTTGGTGTTTTGGGATTGGCTTATTTCACTTAGCATGATAGCCTCCAGTTCTATCCACTTACCAGCAAATGCCATAATTTCATTTTTATGGCTTAGTAATATTCCATTGTGTATATGTGCCACATTTTCTTTATCCCTTCATCTGTTGAAGGACATCTAGGTTGGTTCCATAGTTTAGCTATTGTGATTTGACCTGCTATAAACATTGATGTGACTGAGTCACTACAGTAAGCTGATTTTAAGTCCTTTGGGTGTAGACCAAGGACTGGGATAACTGGGTCTAATGGTGGTGGTTCCATTCATTTTCTAAGCAATCTCCATACTGATTTTCAGAGTGGTTGCACCAACTTGTAATCCTACCAGCAATGTATGAATATACCTCCTTCACACATCCTTGACAACAATTACTATTAGTTGTATTCTTGATGACTGCCATTCTGACTGGAGTAAGATGAAATCTCAGTGTAGTTTTAATTTGCATTTCTCTAATTTCTAGAGATGTTGAACATTTTTCCATATATCTGTTGACTTCTGTGAAGTGTCTGTTCAGTTACTTTGCCCATTTATTGAATAGCTTTTATTTTTGTGTGTGTGTTAAGTTTTTTAAGTTCTTTGTATATCCTGGAGATTAATACTCTACCTGAGATGCAGGTGGCAAAGATTTTCTTCCATTCTATAGGATTTCTCTTCACATTATTATTGTTTCCTTTTCTGTGAAGAAGTTTTTTAGCTTGATACCATCCCATTTATTGATTCTTGATTTTCCTTCTTGTGCTTTAGGAGTTTTGTTGAGGAATTTGGTTTCTAAGCTGACATGATGGAGATTTGGACTTACTTTTTCTCTTAGTAGTCGCAGGGTCTCAGGTCTAATGCCTAGGTCTTTGGGGTTATTTGTTTTTGCTACTAAAAGGCAAATGATTCTGCTAACTCCCAAATTTAGATAATTCTTTTTTTTTTTTTTTTTTAACTTTTCTAGTTGTAGTTGGACACAATACTGCCGGGTTTCTGTTCTCTCGACTAAAAGGCTCAGGGGTCACTCTAGTTAAACTGGGCTAACTGGGCTGCACGAAATAACCACACAAGAGACACAAATACCTTTTTCTTTGGGGTCGCTGTGACAGCTCCTCTGACCTTAAGGATCTGCAGAAAGAGAGAGAGGGAGAGCACGTGCTGACCCCTTTTATTGAGGAGAAGCTATTCAAATAAGGTAAGGGGTCAGGTTTCAGGGGGCTGAGTCTATCTTTCTGATGTCCACATTCAGCAGGTTGACTGACACCTGGGTAGGCCACACCCAAGGGCATAGTAAGAGGAAGGGACACACACAAGGCACTTCCATGGAAGATTCTATCCTAAACAGGGCAATGGGGTTATATTACAAAGGAGCAGGTGAGCATAGCTTCACCCATGGGGCTGTAGCAAGACACACCCATTTCTGTGACTGAGAGCCTCAGCACCCAGCTGGGGAATGTAACTCAGTCACCCGTAAGGTTGGCCTCCCACACAATACCTTTGTTTTATTTTTTTATTTTTTATGTGGTGCTGAGGATAGAACCCAGGGCTTCACACATGCTAGGTGAGTGCTCTACCACTGAGCCACAATCCAGCCATAGCTAATTCTTTAACTTGAAGAAGAAAACCTTTTTCTTTCTTTCTTTCTTTTTTTTTTAATCTCTGGCAACTTGTTTGGTATCGGCATAAAGCCATGTATTGTTTCTGGGGCAGTACAAGCTCTCTAGGCATATATAAATACAGAGCCATTTTATTTATTTATATTTTGGTACCTGGGATTGAACCACTGAGCCACACCCCTAGCCCTTTTTTTGTATTTTATTTAGAGACATTCTCACTGAGTTGCTTAGGGCCTCACTAAGTTGCTGAAGCTTGCTTTGAACTAGAGATCCTCTTGCCTCAGCCTCTCTAGCCAATGGTATTACAGCCATAGGTCCCCATACCCAGCAATACAGGGCTATTTTTTATGCAATGCTGGAGATCAAATCCAGCACCAGAGATATCTCTGCAAACAGTTTCCCAAACACCTTTAGACTCATGCATGCTAATATCACTGAGTTATGAGTGATATTAATTTAATGAGTCAGGGTCTCATTAAATTGCCCAGGCTGGCCTGGAATCTGGGATCTAATCCTCCTGCCTGAGCTTCCAAGTAGCTGATCTCACAGGCATATCCCACCCATGCCTGTGTTTATATATTGTTTTTAGCTAGTGAATTAAACTGTGCTCTCTTCAACTCTGTATAAATATAGAGATATAAGAGACTCTAGCAGGAGCATGCCTGTAATACCAGTGGCTGGGAAAGCTGAGGCAGTAGGATCAGAAGTTCAAAGCCAGACTCAGTAATTTAGCAAGGCCCTAACAACTTGAAGACCATGTCTCAAAATAAAAAATTCAGCTCAAGGGTTACCTGCCCCTGGGTTCAATTCCTGGCACCCAAAACAAAACAAACAACAACAACAACAAAAAAAACCCAAGAAAGAGACTTCAAAGATAATTTTGTTAATGCCAAAGCTATTAACAATAAGAATCAAAAATTTAAAACAAAAAGTTGGCTACATAGGGAAAGACCCTGAGAGGAAGCTTGGATTTAGATTACTAGTCCAATTATTGGCTCATTAAAAATAAAAAACTCCTGGGACCTCAAGAATAATGTCTGTCACCTGAGCCCCCCCCTTAAATTTACATAAAACTTAAAAACAGGATTTCTCAACCATTTCTTACAGGTTGTGTATTAGGCACAGATGATTCAAACTGCTGTTCTAGTACCTCATCTGCCAACTTTATCTTCCTTGCTTTGCTTGCCAGAAGGAAAAAACGTGAAATTATCTTACTCTCTGCTCGGCAACTGAGAAATGCTTTGGGTAAAAGTAGATTTAACCTGGATCTTCGGAGAAACATACGAAGATTTTAGCTTTTACCTCTCATTTATTTGGCACCTCAGATCTAATAAGGGCTTTTATGCTGGCTTTTAAATTTGAGCCTCAAAGCCCTGATTTTAAAAGGGTATTCATTCATTCAACTTACTACGTGCTATTGTAGGCTCTGGTGAAACACTAGGTACGAAAACAGAAAAGTAGGAAAAAAAAAAATAGGAAGCCCCACTCGCCTGAAACTTTTCTTTTAGTGGGAGAGAAACCAATGTTAAAAAAGGACAGGGCAGACTAGAGGAATTTCGTCTTGTGCTTGATCAGGGAGCAGAGGGTATGGAACCGAGGACAGTTTAATTGACCATTTTACAGATAACGTAAGAGCCGACTTCGCAGTAGTCGCACGGACGGCGCTTTAACGACTCAATGGCGGGCTTGCCATTTAGGTCCACGGGTGGGGGGGGGCGGAATAATTAACAGGAGGTGGGCGCTGATTTGGGGACATTAGTCCAGGGATTCAGAGAAGGCAGAAACGAAGAGTGATAAGACAAATTCAAATTAATTCAAAAGGAAGCAAACTATTCACACCAAAACAGAAACGTCAGACCCCCACACGCAGAGCTACGCCAGAGTCCCCTGGAGCCCTACGGAGGCATTTGTCCCTAAACATACGTCGGCGCTCCAGACTCTGCCCTAAGTCTACTAGGACGCCGGAGGGGGGGGTGCGGCTGGGGCGGGCGCTGCCACCCGGAACCGGACCTGCCGGAGTCCGGCCGCGCTCCCTGCCCTGCCAGCCGCTGACCGCCCGGGTTGGCCGCGGCGGGGGCGGTGGCCGCGGCACCCGGAAGTGCAGCTGACGTGTCCCGGCCGCGCGCGGAATTGTGGGCGCCTCGGCTAATGGCGTCGACGAGTCTGGGGAGTCTGGGGAGCCAGCGCTGAAGCTTCTTGCCAGGTTGGCTGGTGACGCCCGGTGTGGCGGGGCCCCGCTGCCGTGGGACGGACGTGCCCACCTTGTGGGCTCCTGGGCCAGCGCTGGCGGAGCCTAGCGAGACTGGGCGACTGCGGGGGCGCCTCCGAGAGGAGCCGGGGGTGTTAGAAAGAGGCTGCGGGGGGCGCTCGGGCTCGCTCCGGGTTCGCAGCCCAGGCCCGGCAGAGCCCCTGCGGAGCCCGAGAGGCGGGCTGTGGAAGGGCTGGAGGCGACCCAAGGAGTTGACAGTGCCACAGCTTATTTGTGCGGCTCTGAAATTAGCTCAGACCTTGAGTGATCATGTCTGGCACCAACAGCCCCGAGGCGGTGAAGAAGCTGCTGGAGAATATGCAGAGCGACTTGCGGGCCTTGTCACTGGAGTGCAAGAAGAAATTCCCACCTGTCAAGGAGGTAAGCTTTGGGCGACGTCGGGAGAAGGCGCCGCGAGCTTTCTTGGTCCTCTTAGACCCAGTCCTTCTCTCTCAGCCTCCAGTCCGGTCTTGATTTTCATTTGTCGCTCACCTTTGCAGGTGATTTGTACCGACTTTTTATAGTGTCGGAGAGGTCTGGGGCGATTTGATTTTTTCCACTCTCTTGTCCTCCTGATTTAGGAATGAAGTTGATGGAGTGAGCCAATTCAGTAATTCAGCTTTTTGGGTCTTTTTCAAACTCGGGACAGGCCAAGCCAGAATTGAAAAACTTATATGTCTGTTTCTCGTTCCTAAGAATGAATATCACTGTTGTGAAATCTGTGCTTCTCACTTGTATAGTATAACACTCGATTGGAAACTGCTTTCCTTGTTGGTATGTGTTATTCAGTTTATCTCTTATCAATCCCATGAACTATTAACGGATTATCCAGACCCACCTAATTTATAGACAGTGTTGATACCTACAGGAACCATGTTAATTAAACCTTCTTGTTATGAACAGTACCGTGGTGGACAGTTGGGTTTAGAGTCAAAGCAAATGGACCTGAATTTAAGTTCTAGCCTTACATCTTACTTAACCTCTTGGAGCTTCAAAAAAAAAATCTTTTTTTTCAGCTGTAAAACGGGTAAAATGTGGTTATATAAGATTATGTGTGGCAAATGGTCAGATTAAAAGGGTGTTGTTAGATAGCTCGTTAAAAATTTACACAAATAAAAGCTCCAAATAGTTCCTGAATTGAATTTAAAATTTAATCACTATTGGCTTTTTTTTTAAATTAAGATGCCACTTAATTATTTTAAATTTTAAAAAGATCTAAAATTTCCTCTTTTTTTGAATAAGACATTTCAGTGATGTTGTAAAGGTAATTATTTAATTTTTATTTCTATTAAATATAGTTTTGAATACCTGCAGTTTCACTTATTATTTGCCCTAAGAGTTCACCAAGGGATTTTATATTTATTTGTTTTATCCTTATAAATATTCTGTAATTAGAACTTGATTTTAGGCTTCTAAGGAATCCTAATTTTACTATAAGTGCTCTAACTCCATCATTCTTTAACAGACTCTTTCTTGTATTGAATAATGTAAACACACACACACACACACACACAATAAATAAGTAAATAAAGTAAGAAAACACTATCTAATACTACCTAATCAATGTACCCCTTTTGGCATGATAGCTATTACATATGTTTTATTTCAGATAATAGTTTGCCTTGATATTGATTTTCATTATTTTCACTGTATCATTTGTTGAAAGTTATAACGTAATTTTGAGGAATTAGGCTGTTTTAAAGAATTTTAAAGAATTATTATTATTTAATATATTTAGCTATAAATGGACTTAATACCTTTATTTATTTATTTTTATTTTTTATGTAGTGATGAGGATTGAACCCAGGGCCTCACATGTGTTAGGCAAGCACTCTACCACTGAGCCACAACCCCAGCCTCAAGAATTATTATTTTTAATTGTGAGAAATATGCTTTCATTTAGAAAATTCCAAATCCTGTTTTGTAATTTCAACAATAAGTAATAAAATTTATTGTTCCTAGTTCTAAGAATTCATATAAAAACTCTGGTCCCTTTATATTGTAGGTCTTTGTAGGCTAATTTGGGAATTTAATTAACTATTTGTTAAATTATTTCTATTGGAACATGCATTCAGAGTTCCAAACAGGTCATTAGTAAAGTTCTAGAACTCAACCTATTCCTAATCCTAGGACTTTTCATTAAAGCTAATTAGCTTTTGCTTCAGGCTGGTTAAAGACATGTTTAGTAATTACACCCAGTCTTTGTGATAATGTTAAAGTAAGAGTAATTCTTACCATAATTTTGTATGTAGTATACATACTCTGTTAGGATTTGTTGACTGAAAAAATCTTGACTCCTTTACCAGTGACATATGCTTACGTTCCTGCTTTAGGAACTGAAAAATGACTTTGTGTCATAGCCTTAAAACAAGGATGAAGTAATTAGCTAAATAGTGATGATTTTTTTTAAAGGAGGAATACTTCACTTTCATGAATATTTTGATCTAATTTAAACTTCTTGGTAAATTAGTGGTAATGCCAAAATTTGGCTTTTGTTTTTTAAGGAACTGGTAACTGCTTACTGAAAGTTTGTAATTCTTGAGCTAAGTTTAGTAGTAGTATGATTAAAAATGTTGGGGTTGGTCATTCTTGGCAGAGGAATTAGCCCATAATAT